AAATTTTGATATAAATATTTAATAATATAAATTTATAATTTTATAAACTTTAAATTAAATTTTAATTAAATAAAATGATCATTTAAGGTTGGAATTCCAATACTTTTTTAGAGTCAAGCTTAATATGCATTTTATGTATAGAGTTTATTTATTTAAGATAATACCTCGTTAAATGTCTTGTTTGCCCTTCTTCATCGTTTATTACCCTTTATATTGTATTACAATCTCTAGCGGTGAGAAAAGAAAAATTAATTTTGTTGCATAAAAAATGATAATTGTTAATATAATCAAATATTAAGAGAAAAATAAAAAATCAAAGCTAAAATTTTTAATAGATTAGACATTGAAGCATACCAGTATATTTGGGTCAAAGAGAATAAAAGGGAGGGAGGAGCTTTTACCCATTCAAATTTTAATATTTAAAAACATTATAATTTGATTGGTAAAAAAGCTATTCAACCTAAACATATTATAAGTATACTCACGATGTATTTATCCAAGTAAAAGGAATTTGATTTCTCTTAAAAAAGATCTCAAATTCAAGTTTTGTAAATAAAGAAATATGCGCTAAAAGAGTTCTCTCTTGTAAAATCTAATGTGACTCGATTCTGGATTAGTCGACAGCCAATGTAGTTATAGGATACAAAGAGGTTAATATAAAAAAAAAACTATAAATATTAGTAAAAAGATACTTTTCAGATTTTTTAATTTAAAATTTATTGCAAAATAATAATCATTTTTATATTTTGAGATAAACAAATATTTTTTAATTAAATCTTATAATTATCTCTTAATTTTAATTATTTATCTTATTATTAAAAAATCTCTTTATTTTTATTTTTTTAAAAAGCAAAATAGATAAAGATAGAAATTAATTCTAAAATTTCAATCCCAACATAAAAGTAAAAAATTTCCATGATTATGACTTATGAGAGAATGAGTAAAAATGAAATTGATGCATAAATATTATGCATTCACCCACACAAGGGGTTGTTGAGGGGTTGTTGAATTGGTAAGATATTTTTTCAGTTTGATTAAATATTTTGATTTCAAATTTTAAAAATATAATTTTATTAAAATTCGTAAAAAAAAATTTTTATTGTCCATTAGATCTATCTGATTAAAATCTAAACTAAACAGTGATTTAATGAACTCCCAAATATTGGGTAATCCAAAAAATAATAATAAATATTATGCATTCATAATTGTCTTTTCTGTGAAATGGAATGATACTTGTCTTTTTGCGTGAAATGGAACGACAACTATTCTCGCACCTGGGTTACAAGGCGAATTCACTATAAATTTTTGTAATATATAAAATTAATTATTTTAATAATATATAAAATTATACGAAAAATTAATATAAAAAATTATTCATAAATTATTTTCCCCAAGCGTAAGGATTCATCAGTGAAGGTTTTGACTCACCAACACTTTAAAAAAAATATCTCCTCTCCCAAGTGGTAAATGGTAAAAAAAAAAGAAAAGAAAAGAAAAACAATGGATGCGACCCCAACCAGTATCCGAAGACGTGATAACAGTACCACCTTGAGAAGCCAAACGATCCAACGAGACCAAATACTCCACCGCTGCGTTTCCCTCTCACAGGATATGTCCAAATTCAGGGAGCAAAAATAAACTAATAAAATATATATTTTTTAAAAGTATTTTTATTTGAATTCTTCTCCTCAGTGGAAAAAACATTCACCAAAATAATTAAAAATTTTCGACTTACTTAGATTTGCATGTAATCTTAAAATATGGTTATTTTATTAATTATTTAAATAATTTAATGATTTTTTTAATTAAAAATAAAAAATTTAAATTTAAATCATATGATATTCAAATAAAATGAGATAAAAAATAAAAAATAATTATTTTTTATTGTATAATCAAAATAAATATACATATAGCTACTCTAGATTTTGATTAACTAAGAATTTAAGTACAAAAAATATATTATAGCACTTTTAGAAATAACTTAATAAACTTGTGATAAATTTAGTTTGTTATTTTTGACTCGTCTAAAACAAAAAGTTAGATCTCCACCTAATTCTCTCATGGGAGCAATCAAAAAAATCCAATCAACATCAAAAGAAAAATAATTCTTTCAATCCCACAAAGTTTCCCCTTAGGAGCAAACCCCCAAAGTTTGAAAAATCATACTAATAAAGATATAAGTTTTTTAAATTCTAGTAATCAAGGATAGGAATTGATTTTTTACCTATCACAATAGTCAAACTTTTTAATTTTCCCTAATCACCGAAGTTTACTTAGCCGAGGAGTCATTAGATGGAATGTTAATATCGCATTATTCATGCTGTTATAGTGGATCTCACTTTAAGTTATTAACGTATTCCGTTCTTATCTTATCAATGCTTACGTAAATTTTATATTTTATTATGTGACAAAAATTTTGAAAACATAACAACAATATACACGTCGGTTACACTGCTCTTATTCTCCTCAGACTTTCACTCCACTTTAAAGTTTCCTTTTTAATTTCGCTCTAAATCGGTCGGTATATAATATAATAATGCCTGTGTCGTGGAAAAGCCTTCAATATCCATGCCAGCTTGTCAGAGCCAACAAAAGAGCTTATGTCAAAGCTTACGAAAATCCTTTGTCGAAGCGGCTGCGCCGCTGCAATTCAAATGTCAAGTTACAATTATGGTGATTGTGGAAGTGTGGAACTGAGGTTCAGTTTTGGTGCTTACGTGTTACCATCAGCACAAAAATCAATCCCACAGGTCTGTGACTGAAAATGGTGACTAATTAACAATTGGTCACTAGTATTTTTTATATTTTTTATGTTTGTGTCTAGACTGAGGTTCGGTTTTGGTGCTTATCTGTCACCATCAGAAGAAAAATCAATCCCACTAACTGGCTGTGTCCTCTTGGGAGCAATCCCACAAGAGGATTATTAAGGCCCTCACCTCGTCTCAAACTTCTATATATACACCCACTAAGGTTCTCCTTGCATATATGAGATATCACAGAGACGCAAAGAGAAGTTGCAATGGAGGGAACAAGGGAGACTCGTAATGGAGGATTAAGGAGAGGCAGCAAGATTAAGGTATTGGTCAACAAACCCTACCTATTTCTTTCTTTAACACAAGTCTCCATGCTATATGATTAATTTCATCAATTTTGTTCAAAAAGAGGACTCTGAGGAGGATGAAAGCCAAAGCTGCTGTTACCAAGTTGGAGATAAGCCGCGTGAGAGAGGAAACGGCGGGAATGGTTACTGCAATGGGGGACCTCAAATTCGAGATCGATCTGTTGAAGCCGGCACTCCGCCAGCATTCTGAAGACATGCTTCTTATCTCAGAAGCAGTGGACAGTGTTACCCAGATTATACTTCAGCTTTAATTAGCCATGGATACAAAAAGACCAGCTATTTGGCTTTGATGTTCTGCTGTGTCAGGGATCTAATCCTCCATGACTAAGTCCCAGGTTTGGTGTTATTTTATTAACAAACAACTTGATTGTGTCCCTTTACTTAAGCACTTTATGTAACGTTTGGTTTTAGGTGGTCTTGTTCTTCAGCTTCCTATTAGGCTAGAGAGGAGGTCAGGGCCCCCTGTCTAGTAGAGTCAAGTTTTTTGGGTTTTGCTGGTCTTTTTGGTTAAACTGCAGATTTTGGGTTGTTTTCTCAATTAACTATTGTAATATCTGCATCTCTTAATAAGATTCGGCACCATGGTTGAACCTGAAAGTTATGAATTCTTTTTTTTAGACAAACAAATTATCTCTCACAATTAATCACCTAAATGAGAAAGATTTAAAAACTGACCAAAAAAAAAAAAATCTCTTAAATTTATTTCAGATAAAAATAAAAGCTCTAGGTAACAGCAAGTGATGATTTTAATTATGGGGTATATTCATTATTCAATACTAATAAAATAAAAATTAGCAACGGAAAACCTTTGGTCAGAAAAAGCTAAAGATGAGTTTCTCACCAGGATGAGATAGCACTCAAACGACTGTTCAATGAGTGAAGAAATGAACAACACAAATAAAATTTTGGAACCGATAAGGTACTACCAAGTTGAATTAAAACAACATAAATATCTATGACAAGCCAAGTTCAAAATTATAACATTTTTGCCTAGAATTTCAAGGAAAGAAAAATGCACATCTTGATGAAGGCATTATGCAGGTCAAAGTGATGCCTTTTGAGAGTGATTAAATCAGAAGTTCAGAACTCATCGTCATCCTCCTCTGCGATGTGCTTTGCTAGTTCTTGTTCTTGTTGTTGTCTCTCCCTCCTTTTCTCAGCACTTTCTTTCTCCTTGTGAGAGTTTGGAGGAAATCGAAGTGCACGTACTGCCTCATTATGCATATTCAGACAGAAAGCAATCCTAGAGTTGAATGCAATTTGAGGCTCATTTGTAGAGTAGATGTCACCCGTCTCCTTTGACAGCATCCATCCATTTGCATGATCCAATATAGCATCAATTGCTCCATCTCTGATTGCCTTGGCTACTATACTCTCCGCATCAGCAACAGGATTAGCGGAGTCCAACCTTAGCTTCTTGGCAACATCAGCAAGGGAGATACGAGAGTATGAGATACTTATGTTTCGCAGCCCAGTCCTTATGACATTATGCCGCAGCCTAACAATCAAGTTATGAGTCTGATCTGAACTGAATATGCCTGAGAATTTCTCAGCAACAGATCTAAAAAGCTCCAAATCTCCAATGCGAACAGCCTGTAACATGCACAAAAATTTCCATTTTCTCACAAACCAGCATTAACACTTGGCTTGACTGGTAAAACATAAGAATATCATAGACATATTAAACATATAAACAAAGCATCTATTGCACTTAACCAAGTTCACCACTTCTTAAGATGACCAACTTAAGAATAATTTTCTGCATTATATATGTGATAAGAAAGAAAGGTGTGTCCCCATATGCATGGTAAAGATATGTTTGAGCTGCATATATTTTTGCTGTCCATTTATTCCCATAATTAGGAAAGTTAAGACCTAGGTTCCCAAGGCACAAAATAATACACAGAACTGAGGCTTCATAAACTTACATTTGTAAGCTCAAAGTATGGTCTCAAAGCCTTTTCCATGCCTTTCTGCATAAAAATGGTCCTCTCTGGGATTTCACCTAGCAATAATCGAACAATGATAGCCCACTTGTTGCATTGAACTCGGAAACCCAGGGCTGCAACAGGGGCTTTTCTAGCAGCTTGAAGAAGGGCCTCTTTTGCATCTGTGTACTCCAACTGAATGGTCCTAATCTTACCCAAGTAAAAGAGGTAGCGGCAAAACTGCATGATGAAG